TCCTTTTTGAATTTTGATGACTGAGAGAAGTGATTGTTACTTTCTCCTTTCTCGTGGGTCCCTCCCCCATCCAAACCCCAATCATCCTTGGGATAGGCCTTCGTTTAGTAGTGTCAATTGTTTGCCTTTTGCATAGTTTTCTTTGTTTTGTTTCTATTTGTTTTTGCTGTTCAAGTAACAAAGTCTGGTGATTTGATGGTAGGATGAGGCAGTCAACTTACCAGAGCCTGTTGAGCAACTCCTAACTGATTATGCTAAAAGGTATACTGAAATTAAGACACCACGTAAGCTAATGTGGAAGAAAAATCTGGGCAGTGTAAAGGTTAGTCACTGTACAGTGTACTTGGGACTTGTGTTGTCTTTCAAAATAGTCTACACGAATAGCTGATTTAAATCTCTAGATCTGAGCTCTCTGTTCCCTGCATCCTTTGCTATACCCAAATGACTGACTGTGTTTTTACTGCTATTTTATTGGTAGTTGGAGCTCCAGTTTGAAGATAGAGCAATGCAGTTCAATGTTACTCCTTTGCATGCTTCAATTATTATGCAGTTTCAAGATCAGAAAAGGTAACTTTGGGGAACATCTTTGTAGTTTTCATTTAATGCATTTAATGCATTGCTTCCGAAAACTTCTTGTCAATGCTGTAAAGGGTATGTACACCTCATGTTGCAGATGGACATCTAAGAACCTTGCAGCTGCAGTTGGAGTAGCTGTTGATGTATTGAATAGGAGAATAAATTTTTGGATAAGCAAGGTTAGTTCCTGTAACTTTAATTTCATCAGTATATGGTTCTCTGGTGAAAAGATTTATTTGATCTGTTTTTTTTCACTTGGTTGACTAGGGAGTTCTGACGGAGTCAACGGGGGCAGACTCTGCTGATCATGTTTTTACTCTGGTGGAAACCATTATTGATACAGGTAAAAGTGGAACTATTGATGGAGGCTGTGAGGAGCTATTGGCAGGTGATGAGGACGGAGAACAGTCTGTGGCCTCTGTTGAAGACCAATTGCGAAAAGAGATGACTGTCTATGAGGTATACCATTTGAGTTCCTTTTTCTTTCTTTTGCATATAAATGGATCTCGTATGTATCTGTTTCTGATACACTCTCTTATCAGTGGTCAACATGTAAATACACGAAGCTTTTCTTTTCTTAAAAGCTGTTTTTGGTGTATTCTTATGATCATGGTAGCTGCGGTTTTCAAACAATTAAGTTGCATTAACATCACGATAAAGTAAGCCTGCAATCTTCTCTTTGCTAGTGAGGTACCTGGGTTTTTGAAATATTGTGCATAATTCACTTAGTGATATAGAAAATAATTACCCATGGGTTTCAGAAGCTTAAACATCAGTTGACAGGAAACTCCATGTGAGCCTTTTTGCAAGGCAGGACACAGAGATGGCAGCCTCTTGTGTGGCTTTGTTTATCTTATCATTATCAAGACCCTACCACCAATTGGATGTCTATTCTTCAAGTCCAAAATGTGTTTAATTTTTTTGTTAAATAATTGTAAATTGGGCAACGCTAGGTAGTTCATTGTTCTAAGGACAGAAACCATCTCGCAAAAAACGAAGGACAAAATAACAGAAAAGAAAACACTAGTGGTTTTTCTTTCTTTTCTAAACAAGGTGCTTGTAATGGCTGCAGAAATTTATCACTGGGATGCTTACCAATTTTGGCAGCATGGCCTTGGACCGTATTCATAATACTCTCAAGGTAATTATTAGTTTTATAACTTGTGAATAATTATCAGTAATTGGAAACTATGTTGTGGCACGAGGCAATGAAATACCAAAGAATTAGAAGTACTAAACTATTGCTGCAGATGTTTTGCATTGCTGATCCTCCTTATGACAAATCGCTGCAACAACTGCAAAGCTTCTTATCTGGTCTAGTTGCTGAGGAGAAGTTAGAACTAAGGGAGGGAGTGTACGTTTTGAGAAAGTGATCAATTCCATCCATGTTGTCTTGGTGGCATAAATCTTATCGCTACTCTTCTCACACCGATGAAATGCAATACTGAGTTGTTAAGAAGGAAGTAACAACTTTTGGCTACAGGGAGATCTCCTTTTCTCTTCTCGTTTCAGGTGCAGGTTACCTGTAAACTCCTTGCAGTCAATCATTTGTTGTGCTATTTAACCAAGCTGAGGGTAAGTGCAAATTAAGATGGTTCCTGTGTGTTAGAATGTCTCATTGTGCTAACCTAAGAGTGTTGGTAATATTTATTAGAATATCCTTCGCGAGGTCAAGAGATAAAGCAGCCAAGAGAAGATGTTGACATCTGGCGCTCGTTAGATTTTTTTTTTTTTTTAATGTAACCAAGAAATTTCCGAAGGGCGGTGGCATACGGTTGAGTTCGCCCCTTTACCATTCTCCACATAAATACCAGGCTTTTGTCCGTGGCAGGGTCCGTGATGTAAACCGAATAGATGGCCATCTGATTTCCAAAAAAAGGTAGTCCATTGTTTATTTGCTGTATATGATGTAAACTGCATATATTGCCATTTCGATTCAAAAGGGAAGGGATCTAAAACCACTACATGATTTACCGTTTAGTTATCTCATGGTTTTCCAAAATTAGCTAGTTCTTATTTTTTCTTTTTTCCTCCCATCCAGAGGTATCAACTGTGGTTTTTCATTTACCCTTATATGACTCAAACTAGACTCATAGGTAGGGGTGTTCATGAGAACCCAAAAAATCGAACCAAACCGAAAATCGAACCAAATCGACCAAAAAGACCAATACTTTTTAGGTTTGGTTTGGTTTTGGTTTTGATTTAAAAACCGATCAAATTTGATTTGGTTTTGGTTTTAATAAAAAAAAATAACCGGAAAAACGAACCAAACCGACTATAAAAGTAGCTATTTAAATTTATTATTATACCTATATATACGTATATTTTTATATAAAGTTTTAAAAATTTTATGGTACATATTAGTCATTTGTATTTTTAGTCTAGTTCTTTGCTATTATAATAATCTAATTCTTTGCCTTTACATTCTAGTTTGATTGGTAATTTTCTTTTACTAAGTACAAGAATTTATTTCATGCTAAAAATAATCGATTTTTAATTGAGTACTTAAATTCTTCATCACCATTTGATTCAATTATCATCAATATATCTTAAAAATGATAGATTTCTCAAAGAGCAATTGATTCGATAGTCTTACGATGAAAATATAGTCACCAGAATATGCGTTTGGTAGTGTATGTCTCTTATTTAAGAAAAAAACTGATAAATAATCGAAAAAACTGAAAAACCAAATCGATAAAAAACCGACTCAATTTGTTTGGTTTGGTTCCAATATTTGAAAAACCGACTTGGTTTGGTTTCTTTTTAGGGAAAAATCGACCCAAAGCGAACTATGACCACCCCTACTCATTGGTGGGAGGTGAATGTGGCTTATAAGTTATAAGGGAGCCAGTTCCTCTCGCCAATAAGCTACTTTTCAGAAATTAATAGCCTGTTTGGCCAAGCTTTTTTTTTGGCCAAAAGTGCTTTTTTTTGGCCAAAAGCACTTTTGGC